TGAGTAGTACAGTCAAAATAAGTATGGGGAAAATATTTTATTATATCAAAGTACTCAGAAATACATGCCATTTTTTGAGTAAAACAACATTTACATTCTAAAAACTATGTCGGCCATATGGCGCCCTTGAGCCGAAATGCAGGAATCAAGAGCTTCTCCCGAAATAATAATAATAATGATAATAATAATAATAATAATAATAATAATAATAATAATTTATTAGTCCTGTATGATCACAGATGTGATATAGGATAAGTCAGTCAGAGCACTACAAAAGCTAATAACAAATCATGTTAGTGTGGACGCACACACACTCGCACCACATATGGTATATACCAAATATGGGTACAGATAAATCAAATTAGCTTATTGATAAAATTTATAAATATAAAACATATATGTATATATAAAAAAGCGAAATAAAGGACAAACCATTAACTGACATTCAAACAACAATGATCAAAATCAAACAAGACATTCAAACAGTAAAAATTCCTCAATAGAGTAAAAAGCTTTCTTCAGTAAAAACTGTTTGACTGTTCTTTTAAAAGTGTTCAGTGGTTGTGATTTCAAATTGTTGGGGAGTCTGTTGAAAAACTTAATAGCCATGTATCTAGGGCTCTCCTCCGTTCTCGCCAATCTATGCGACGGCACCTACAATACTTGACTGATCCTTGTAAAGTAAGCAGTGAACTTGCTCAATTGTGTTTTAGCAAGGATAAGTATATTGAGTATATATACAGATGGTAAGGTTAAAATCTTTAATGTTCTAAATGAATCCTTGCAGCTAGTGAGCCTTCCAATTTTAGCATTGTTATCCAACTGTTCAATCATGAGATGTGCAAAATTAACACGTTGTGCATAATCACCTGGTAACAGTTGTTGACAAACTTGGATTTTGTGAGGATGGAACACTGAATCTTTCTTCAAGATGCGACGTGCAGAGGATGCGTAGATCCCTAGGGAACTAGCACGCAAACGGACGGAACGATTAGGGCTTTGCAGCGTGTCAACAGTTCCAACAGTACGGTTGCGTCTTGGCGGTTTTTTCTTCATTACATTACCTGTTGTGTTGAATGCTTCCACCCATCTCAAAATGGTGTTACGGTCTGGTACTGTCCCACGACGTGGAACACGAAAGTGAACGCGAAACTCACGTTGCGTTCGAACGAGAGACTCGCTATTTTGAAAGTACCGACGTACAGTGAACACACGATGGTCAACGTTCCAAACCATCTTGCCAATTGAAACGGCACTTCTCCCACTATCTAACACGCCCTTCCCCACCGACACGGGACCAGCCCACTCGATGTTGTATCCATCGAAAAACATGCGTTCGTTCTGACGAACCCTATATATCCTATACTTTAACGTAAAAATAACAGTTGAAAACAAGATAGCGACTTAGCTCTCGTAACATTTTTTCAAACGGAAGAGGGGTCATGTGACACCTCATTTTGAAGCTTCTTATACGTACCTTCTAACCCTAGAATACAAAAACTCGTACAGCCTGTCAGATCACTATTTCGGAAGATAGTGATTTTATATTCTAGGAGTATAAAGTATTTATGATAAGCTTCAAAATGATGTATCATACAAAACCTTGGAATTTTCAACTGCTAATTCGACACCAAAGCATAGTACTCATACACGAGTTTAATTATCTTGAGTTTCGGCTCTCTAGCCTGACCAGTTAAAAAAATATGTAGGAGGGGATCTTTTTCAAATGCACTGTGTATGTATAACAATGTCAGAGGTGAAGCAATGCAATTTAATGTAAAATAGTAGACGATTTGAAAACCATGCGGCATGACTGCTATTAGATATATTTTTAGATCAACTTTAAAACGTCCACTATTGAGAATGGTTTTTCTTACATCAAATAAATAAAATGTTTTGGGGAAATTGTTAGTGGACAAAAATGTTTCGCTTCAATTTTATATTTGCAAAAGATAGGATTTAGATTATACTCTTACTTATTCCAAGTAGACTAAGGAATTACTCCATTATATAACAATAATTGAAGAAAAGGTTGATCAATCAACGGATTTATTTTCATTGCATGCTGAATTTTTAAGAATTTAAATTGAAAACTAATTTTCTATCATACAACTACAATAAATTTTCTACAAAATAAGCGACAATCACTGAAATAAAAATCTAAGATATTTTGATTTATAATTTATCATGCATTTATAACGTGTCAGAGCACATATTCATCACAGTGTTAGTGAATTTTCGTGTGTATAGAGGTGATCAAGGAAAATAGTCAATTGTCAGATGTTTTAAGATTTTATGGCAAGAAATTCTGCAACTGAATTTGGTGATAAAAAACTCAGCCTTACAGTATTTTTGGGCAAAAATTAGGGCAAAGAGCTCGTTTTATTAGCGATAAAATAACTTGATGAACAAAATAAAAAATTATCTTTCACCCTATTATTCGCAACCAGAAAAATTGAAGCGGAACATTTTTCTGAGACCCATATTCTCGTTCAGCAGCCTCCTTCATACGTTTCTACCAAATAATTTGTTCTCTTACAATTGCTCTTGGAATTTATTTCGTTTTTTGCTGGATTGCGTAGACTGAAATGAGAAGGATAGGGATTGTTGGATAAGACGTATTATTATACAGCTATCTAGATGACATCGCCTTGCATGCAGCCATTGGGAATGCCAAGTGGGTATCCTTTGTGCCCCTTGTGGTGATGGATGACTACTTGCCACGTCAAGTGCTAAAAAATATGCTTTCCAGTTAATCCAAAATCTATTTTAATAGCATTACCCTCGCATATTGCTTTGATTAGGAATACATAGCTCTAGTATTCCTGTTAAAGCTACACAGCAGTGTAATCAAACATCAAATCAGTCATAATTTCCATTACCCTCTTACACTATTTCTCTTCTCTCCTTCCCCGCTCAGTCCTAATCACACCCCTTCATCACAGCCAATAACGATTTTGTGTCAATCGTCAATTGGGACCACCAATCTGGTATATATAAGGGATATTCGAGGGCTGGAACCACAAAGCTAAACACCGCGGTTACAATACAGGTATATTTGCATATATAAATATCAGCTGTTTATTGTTTCTGAACTAAATATTCTCAAGGAAAAACATTCAGAATTTTTGTGAGGGTTGATTGTGTAGGTCAGTGGCGGTGTTTTTATTTTAGGTTAATAATATAGCAAACAAAAATTAAGACTGGTTGTTGGTTGTCGATTTTTATAATATTGAAAATGTTTCGATTTGGTTGTTTTGCTTATTACTTAAAACATTGATATTTTACTCCCTAAATAAAAAAAAGAGAAATCGAACGTTTTTGACGTTTCAGAGAAACCTGATTGTTTTCAGAAAAAACTGTAGGGGTTAAAAATTGGGGTTGGGGGTTGTTGGGAGTGAGGTTGAGTTTATCTCCATTTTTTGATGTTAGTATATGTATACACTTCCAGCATTCTACGCACCTTTTAGACATATTTCACACATCATGGATTTCCCCGTACATTTGACATTACAACTGATGGAGAAATGTTTTCGATACGCATCTCTGCTTCTGCTCTCTGGGCTCAAAAACGGGCGTCCCTATCTTTACTGCCGCGGAACAGCGTCTGCCGGGCTTGACGCGTCATGGGTCAGGAGCGACGTTGCCAACTGGACGGTAGTGCCAATAGCGCTTTTTTGTCTGCCGGTTCAACTTGTGCTGAACACACGCACAGCTAAGCGATGAGACTACCAACGTAGCGTTCGATCTGGCTATACTGGAGGCGCCGGGCTTGGAGCGAAGACAGGCCACATGTGATCCGCCTTCAGTACAAGTTTGAACTCTCTCGAGTCATTTGGTTGTCCGTAGCGATTTCCTCTGTGAAACAGTTTTTTCTATTGTGTTCTAAAAATGAGTGAGTGACATTAATTTTAAGCATCGGTGTGTTGTCAGGTATTGGGTACAGTGTAACGGGAACTCTTGCTAAACAAGCCTACAGATAAAGTGTTTTGTCAACAGCCCAGGGTTTTGGTGGTACAAGGCATTTTCAGAAAGAAGAGTTGATTGAAGATGAACCACGAAACGGGAACAGATGGAAATCGTTGGTTGACAGTCAGAATGATCAGAAAAGAGTTAAATTTGACTCACACCACCGTTCACCAGATCAAGAACAACTGGGTGTTGCTTCACGATAATACTCCTTGTTACACAGCATGCCAATAAACGAGTTTCTGGCCAGTAAAAACATTGATATGGCTCCCTATTCGCCTGACATGAGCTCTTGTGACTTTTTTCGCTTTCCGAAGTTGAAAAATCACCTCAAGGGAACTCATTTTGGGACAGTCGAAAGCATTCGAGCGGCTGTAACCGACCAGCTGCAGACTACTCCTGTATCACAGACCTCCTCGTAATCCTTTATGAACTGATGGCAGTGTTGCGTGGAAACGGCAAAGTCAATCTACTTGACACCTTACATTCGTGTACTCCTAAGCTACAGGATTTCAGTAGCTAACCCCCGTACAAACAGAGGATTGAAAGAGGTGAATGAATTCGAAAATAGCTCCTAGAAATAAATTGTACACATTATATAGAAATGTAATGTTTGGAAAATGCCCCATTTTCAGTCAGTTTTTATGTCGGAAAGTGATACGCCAGTGGCGATCGTGAATTCGTAAATCGAGCATAGCCATGAGAGAGATATGGATCCATGGATGCATGCGTTATGGATTTATATCGTCCGTGCTGTCAGTATCAGTGACGTAATGAGTGACTAATGTAATCCCTCTAACGCAATACACTGGCCACTGCTCGTCGACAAATGTCCAATTTATTACCTCAAGTTGCATTGGGTTACTTTTCTAGGCAATGATTGTCAAAATGGGCATTTCTTACATGTTCTTTCTTCCTATTTGATGGAATATTTGAAGGTTATCACTACAGTTAGATGCTTTTTGAGATGTCGTACTATGTAACATACTTAGAGACGGGGATAACCAAGTAGTAGAATTGAGAAAACATACCTCAGGAGTTCCACAAGGGTCTAATTTGGCTACACTTCTGGTTAACCTATCTACAAATGATCTGGATAGTGTAATTGCATCGAATAGATTGTTTTATTCAGATAATTAGAAAATATTTTCCGAAGCAATCACTAAAGATATTTGCATTATTCTGCGAAGAACACCCAATAGTGTTCATGAATGGTATGATAACAGTATGTTGGCACTAAACGTAGCAAAATGTAAAACTATTACCTTTCCTAGGGAAAAAGCAGCTTTAGTGTTCAACACAGCGTTGATACTACACCGTTGGAGCGATGCACCTCCACAAAAATACTGATTCAAAACACTTAAACTTCGAGGAAAAAGCATGTACTTTTACAAGTAAAGCCAGGACAAGAAAAGATAAAAATGTACTAAAGTGATATACCCTTAGAAAGGTATCGCTTGTTCTGAAATAAAGTTATGGCAGCTCAAAAATCAAAATCATAATCAACGTAATGTAGTAAGCTCAAAAGAAGGTGACAGGTAGGCACTGCCCTATATTTGAATACGAATAATGCTAAATAAAATCAAGTACACTCTAAGAATTTCAGTCAGCAACGATCAATATATTAATATCTATAAAATACCCAATTAAATTGTTATTTTACCTGTTCACATCAACCAAAACAACTAAATGAAAGTTACAAACTAAAAGGATTCTACTCCATAAACTGGTGTTTGGGAATTATTACCAACGAAATGACGCCCACATACAACTTCAGCAGAAAAAAAAAATGGCGCTCAACAAGCCTGAAGACGAAAGTTTTTGGAAGAAGGCATCTTGATAATAAAACAAATATTCCCATACAGGTTGTTAAAAGAAAGTATCTTGATAGGAAGCCAAATATACGGCTAGTACGTACAGAAATCAAAAGGTAACCGCTGGTTGCCAATGGGCGAAACCAACTCTACGAGGGACCAACGATATTTTATGAGGAAATTTCTCAGATAGTCGCTAATAATACTATAACATTAGTGATTTCAACGCAACACTGAATCGGTGAGAAAAAAGGTATAATACGTGTGACATTATACAATCATAAACTATAGAATTTGCCGAAAGAAAATCATTAAAAAGCGCTTGGCCTAGGAACGAGCACTCTAGCGTAAAGAGAAATTCAAATTACTGGTTAATGATCAAAATAGTAAAATAAGGTTACGTGATTTTGGCACGTGACACTATTTTTGTAGTTAATGAACTTAGAATTGATATTTAGGTGCATAGCGCACATAAATATGGAAATAAAATAATACAGGACAACAGGTACTACTCGTATTTTTGAAATGACTCATTCAAGAACCAGCCGCCGAGTAGCGCGTGAAAAATCCCGGACAGATGCGTTTGCACTTAACGTGTCTTACGAGGTGCTATTTGAAGGGCAGGGAATGTAGTGGCTTACAAGATGTATACCAAGAATACGAATGTACCATTAATGAAGCGTTTTCAGTAAAAAAGCATGTTGGCAAAAAATGGATTTGGAAGATCTGAAACTCGAATTCTTGAATAGTTACCTAAACATCTGCGAGAATTTTCCAGGGAGCCCAATATTTGATGTTGATAATAAGCTTTGTGTTGATATGTTTGATGCAATTACAACTATACAGGGTGTCCCAGAAATAACACGCCAGCGTGACACAGGAGGTACATTAACTTCAGATCAATCAGATAAAATCAACACGACCTTTGTAAAAATTTTATTTTTTTCGAGGTACTGCCACCTTTAAGCTTTTTCAAAAAATCCTGCTTTCTGTTCATTTTTACCTGTTATGGCTATAAAGAACTTCTAGCTTATGTTGTTCCTGGGCTACCATTAATAGTTGGTTGAGACAACCGAGTATTCATTTCATTGAAAACTAGCACGGTATGCTAAAAATAGATTATAGCAATTTGTTTCAATGCAAAAACCTTTACTAAAGTTTGACCAATTACTGTGAAAATAAAATGTATTAGACTAAATCGGCAAGTGACCTTAGAAACATAAATTTACTTAGATTTTTTGCAACATTATCTACCCATTCTTTTGGAAGATGTGCCTCTTGGGATAAGAAGAAGGATGTGGTTACAGAATTATGGGTGCCCTGCACACTATGCTAGTGCAGTAACGGGTATCTTGATGAAACATTCTTTAGAAGATGGGTTGGCTGGCTAGGACCAGTTTTGTAGCCCCTACGCTCCTCAGACCTAAACCCTCTGGATTTTTTAACTGCGGATGTTGCAAAGATAAGGTCCAGTTTGAAAGGACAATTTTTAAGAAGATGCAGGTTGTGTATAAAAGACATTTGGAAAATCTGTTGTGAAAATAATAATAATGATAATCATTTATTTCAGGCGATATTTACATTACAATTTTAATGGTTCCTGATCTTTTATTTGAATTGAATGTTGTAAAAATCAATGAAAAAAAAATACAACTTAATGTTCTGTTCACTATTTTAGACATTAGCTAAAATAAAAAGCTATTACAGCAACTACAAAGTTGTGATTTCGACACAAAGGACAGCTGCACTTATTATTTTATACTTGTAGTATCTCGCAAGTATTACGACTTTAATGGCAAAAGTTAAAGCCGATATACCTCCCGTGTCACTATAACGGGTTATTCCCGGGACACCCTGTACCTTAACTCAACGGAGGAAGAAGTACATTGAACCAGACGAACCACTACAGCAGTCTCCTTGACTATTTATTTCCTGAGACTCCATCATTATTAAGTGTGAATAGTAGCTTAGCATCAATCACAGATTAGTGTGATTTACATAGGATGCATTTGAACGATCATGGCATACATGTTCTGACAACTCTCAGATCTGTGTAAGCAAACAAGACAATCACTTGCGCCAGACTTCTAGCAAATGAAAGAGCCTAAGCTTTTGCTCCGACCAACATAATTGCTTTGAAGTACATCTTTAACCAAGGGAAATAATTAATTAGTAGATAGCGGTGCACCGTGAGCTGTTTGTGAGCAGAAATTCATTTTCCACAGAAAGATAGCATCTTCCCATTTTGCAGACTTCAAAGGCCGCCGCTTGAGTATAGTTTTCCCTATACCCCTGCCGCTATCGCTAGCCTAGCGGAAGGTATACACACTCGAAGAATAGGATCATCGCAAAAAGGTGACACTAGTGTCATCACTATAGTATATTTATTGAAGAAAGACATTAAACCGATACACAAGCACACATGTTCAGTGCGTGATCAGCACGTTGAACAAATTCGGTTAGAATTTTGTATAAATAAAGAGTATTTCAAGTTTAGCACACTTTATAGGCCACCAAATAAAAATGTATGTGACTTCCTACTTAATCTCGAAGCAAATCTCACTGAGCTTTATATAAATTCTGGTACTATCATTTTTGCTGGAGACATCAATATTGATTGCTTGAACTTTCAGAACAAACTGTATTGAACTTTTTAATTTATCTCAATTAGTTAATTCGCCCACTCGTATCAGTAATACTTCTGCTTCTCTTATTGATGTCATCCTGGTGTCTAATGATTTAAATGTATCTGACAAAGGAACAATAGATATTGTTGATATGTCTGATCATTTGTTGGTTTATTGTACTTTGAATTTGAAATGTGTTGCAACCGAGAGTAGTAAATATGTTAGAAAGCTTAAAAATATAGATAAGGGTATCCTAGAAGAATTTTTGCAAATTTCTCCTTTTATTGACTTATTTTTCATAAATAATATAAATGAAAAGGTACTATATTTCGATCGTATTATTCTTAATATTTTTGACACTTTAGCTCCACTAACTGAGATCAAATTTAAACATTTTAAAGCCGCCATGGTTAACCGCCAGTGTTAAATTAATGATGTCTCTTCGTGACAAGGCATTTCGAAAATTTAAAAGGACTGGTTTGCCGGAACATTAGGATTATTATAGACAGATGAGGAATCTCACCACCAGTGCTATCAGGGCTGAAAAAATCATATTTTAAGTATTCGTTTAACAGTTGCCGAGGGAATTCAAAGGCTATCTGGAAGAAATTGCAAAGCCTAGATATTGCTGGCAACTCTAAAACGCCAAATATACCTGCAGAGTTTGATGATCCGAATGAGATAAATAAGCATTTTCTGATTCCGACATCAAACAATGTTGATCCTGAATCTGAAAAATTTCACTTTTACAATAGCAATTTCCGTAACGATTTTGATCGGCTATTTTCATTTGAACCTGTTTCTGAAGCCATAGTTCACAAATATCTTTATGAAATAAAAACTCTTGCAACTGGAGCGGATGGTATTAATGTAGAAATGCTACTTTTATGCTGTCCGCACATTTTACCAACCATAACGCATATTATTAATTGTTGCCTAATAGAAAATACTTTTCCAGACCGTTGGAGAGCTGCAAAAGTACATCCTATGCCAAAGAAAGGCACTATATGTAGCTTGTCGGATCTTCGTCCAAAAATTATAAAATTCATTCATTTCAGTCATGGTTTCGAAAGGGTTTTAGTTGCACGACAGCGCTTCTAGATGTTACGGACGGAATTATCAGGGATATTGATAACGGCAATACAGCGGCTCTTGTATTGCTTGATTACACAAAGGCAATTGATACAATTAACCACCAGTTAATATTTTCCATTTTAAAATACATGGAATGGTCCGTTAGTGCTATTAAACTATTCAAAAGTTATTTCTCGAAGAGGACGCAGTTTGTCATACATCTTCCGGGTTTTTTTCCATGCTTTTTCTGTGTGGGGTACCTCAAGGCTCTATCTTGGACCCATTACTTTTTTCAGTATACTCTGCAAATATTACTAGTAGGTTGATATGTTCAAAGCCATATTTAGATATATGCTGATGATACCCAGATAAAATTTTCGTTCTCTCATACAGATACAACTACTGCGGTTACATTATTAGATGAAGATCTTAATAATTTGCCAAATGAAAGCATATCACATCACTTATCCATAAATCCAACCAAGTCAAATGTTTTATTGTTCGGGAAACACAAAAAGAGCGTGGCACATTCATTCCATATTTCAATTAATAACAATGTTATTCCT